GGAAGGCCAGTTTGACCTTCGCCATCTGTTTCTATACCCCCCGTGCTCCCTTATTCTCCTACACTCACAAGGCTACACTGAGTTTGTTTACTTATTTCACGTGATTCTGGCTTGTCTGGTAATCTCAGCGAATTATAAACCACAGTGACATATTATGGAGTCTGAACAGATGATCTGCTTTCTGTTTAACCTCGTATCAGTTGAGTTTATCAGCTGTATATTTTTTTGTTGTTGTTGCAAATGCAGCTTTGTAAATTTAAAGTTATTATCACAAAATTACTGTGGCATCCCTGGTTTGCTATTGTTTCATTTACCTTATTTTTTCAAATTTCTATTGAGAGATTGTTTTGTATTTGTGATTGTGTACGGTTTATGTGAAAGCTGTTGCGACTAATATATTTTTGCTTCGTTGCTTTTAGTGAACGTAAGTGTAGCAATGGCAATACTTCATTCTGAAAAGTATAATTTACAAGTATCTACCAGGAAGCTAAGCAGATGGACCAAGGCAGAAATAGGAAGATCTCTCTTCGGGTACATGGATAAACCCAACCCCAAAGACCCTTTGAATCTCTTATGTAGAGCCGATCAGACTTTGATCTTCAGAACCCGCACAGGACACTTACACACCAACAAGCACATAAACAGAATTAACCCCAAGTGGGGACCCCATTGCAGACACTGTGACTACCACGAGGAGACCGTTGAAGATCTTCTACTTCACTGCCCAAACCTGGCAGCTCTTCGACGCAGGCTCCTACACACACCTACAGACTTACAAAGCCTGCTCTACTCTGGCGCTGACCAGATGGCAGGGACATGTTGTTACTTGAGGGAGGCATTGCGCTGCCAAGAACGAAATGCTCGTAGCTAAAGGGATTTGAAAACAACAAACATCAACCAGGAAGTACAAAGAACATCAATGGCGTCTCACTCTAATTGTGGACCTGATGCCTAACGCAATCAAAAGCACATTTTGATCTCTCGAATTATGTTGTCAACATCTATAATTTAGTTTTGAATGTTCTATAATAAATGAAAAGAGCTTTTTCTCTCAAAATCTGGAAGATGATTTTTCAAAAAAGAAATTAATGCTGAAGTCAAGAGAAAACCCCGCAAGCTGCGCACAGCGCCCATCCACAAATGGAAATGAAGCTTTTAGATGATTACCTGTCCTGTCCTGGGCAACAACGTCATTGCACACCGGACAGGTCCATTAGTGCTCAGTTCCCCCCAGCACCAAAGCCCGCAAGGTATCCATACTGATTGTTCCGGTGGCTGTCTGATTATGGCGACGTCTTTCCTTTCCAGATAATCGTTCCTTTCTTCCTTCTCCCCTCTCTATCCCCATTTCCTGCATCCTAATGACTGCGTGGTGTTCTGCTGTCTCCCCGTCTTTTTCATCCCGCCACTTTTCCTCCAGGGTCTTCAACACTTCTCCTTTGTCAAATTTCACCTCACCATCAACCACGGCAATGCCTGCCAGCCTATCAGCCTCCTCATTGCCTTTCACTCCAGAGTGCCAAGGACAGAATATCCACGTGATGGCTCTAAGTGATGAGTGTTGTATTGGGTTCATCCATTCACTCCGAAGAAGCCCTTTTAGATGATTAAATCTCTTATTACCTCAGCAGACCCCAAGAACGCAGTGCAGATGGTTGGCGGGGGTCTGTTATGGTTTGCTCCTTCTGTCCTATCAAACATCTACTGTCCTTATCTCTCCTCCTTCTTTCCTATCAAACATCTACTGTCCTTATCTCTCCTCCTTCTTTCCTATCAAACATCTATCGTCCTTATCTCTCCTCCTTCTTTCCTATCAAACATCTACTGTCCTTATCTCTCCTCCTTCTTTCCTATCAAACATCTACTGTCCTTATCTCTCCTCCTTCTTTCCTATCAAACATCTACTGCCCTTATCTCTCCTCCTTCTTTCTTATCAAACATCTACTGTCCTTATCTCTCCTCCTTCTTTCCTCTCGAACATCTACTGTCCTTATCTCTCCTCCTCCTCTTTGCGTTTTGTTACTCTCTTGTAACACCTCTAATCTTCGGCACTTATATGACCTTATTGTGCTGCAAGTGCCGTAAAACTCTTACTAAAACTAAAGGACACAACTGGGAAACATTCTTAGCTTCCCGGGAAGATTACAGTGCTTAACTTCTGCTCACACTTAACTTTCCCTTAGGATCTCAAGGAGTTTTGAACCTCAGCCCAGCACTTCAAGTCCCACAGCCGGTGGTGGCGCCCACAGTGGTGGGTGGTAGCGTGGTATTACAGCAGCAGCAACAGCAACAGCAGCCGCAGCAACCGCCACAGGCACCGCAACAACCGCAGATCGTGTCTGGCAACACGGTCTACCAGATGGTGCACACGCCGCAGGGCATAGTGGCCCAGCCCATACAGGTGAGGGGGGGGGGGGGG